CATTACAACATTTCAGTTTTTAATTCTTGTGTTAGCATATTTGGATTGTCAAGTAAACTTAGTTATTTCAAGCTATCTGTTTTATAGCTACTACTATCAAGCCATATTTATCATAATTATAATTTGGTACTTAGCATTCATACTGGGAAGCGTAATAATACTCAGTATTTGGTAAAACTAAAAAAATAAACAACGAACAAAAACAAAAACAAAAAAACAATAACAAATCTACTCCACAGTTTCAGTACAAACACTAGGCAGTAATGGCTATAATTTTTATTAAATTGTATGCAGCATCTTATGGGTTGTATTGTGTCTCCCCAAAAAGATAAGTTGGTATGCTCATCCCCAGTACCTTAGAATATATGACCTTATTTGGAAACAGGGTCTTTACAGAGGTAATCAAGTTAAAACGAGGTCATGAGGATGGACCATAATCCAGCATAGCTGGTGTCCTTATTAAAAGGAAAAAAATTTGGACAGGGGCGCCTGGGTGGCTGAGTCGTTAGGCGTCTGCCTTCGGCTCAGGTCATGATCCCGGGGTCCTGGGATCGAGCCCCGCATTGGGCTTTCTGCTACTCTGGAAGCCTTCTTCTCCCTCTCCCACTCCCCCTGCTTGTGTTCTCTCTCTTGCTGTGTCTCTCTCTCTGTCAAGTAAATAAATAAAATCTTAAAAAACAAATTTTGGACAAAGAAATATAGACGTGCATGCACCCTGCGAGAACACCATATGAACATGAAGGTGGAGCTCAGGCTGATGAATCTACAAGACAAGGAGTGCTATAGATTGGCAACAAACCATGAATGTAAGAGAGAACCATGGGACAGATTCTTCTCGTGGCCTTCAGGGAGAACCAAGCCTTCCAACACCTTGATCTTGGACTTCTAGCTTCCACAATTGTGAGATAATAAATTTTTGCTGTTTATGATACTTTGTTACTGCAGCCCTAGCGAAGTAATATATTCATTTCAAACTCTTCATATTGTAATAAATCTGGGAAAAGTTTGAAAATACAATGATTTTTAAATGCCCTCTGTGTTACAGAGGTTTTAGTTACAGATAGCAGACCCCACTGTAGATAATTTAAGCTGGAAAAAAACTTATTATTAAGTTTATTATTATTATTATTAAGTTTGCCTATGAATATTTTACTAGCCTTTCTCCCAAGGGGGAGACCTCAAGTCTCATCAGCCCCGCCTCTGTTTTGGGCGATGTGCAGTATGTTGTATGAGGTCTGAATGTGATTTCTTGTGGAATGCTCACCTGTGAATTAATATATGACTATGTAAGTTATTTGCCCTCAGTGTATCCATAAACAATATCAAATAGGATATTTGGGTGACTTCAGTAAGAACTTTTGTTTCAAGAATGGGAGAATGTGGAACACACAGCATCCCAGGTCTATAGCAAATCCTGCTATGCAGACGGCGGAGACTCTCTTTCCTGGCCATAGCATACATTTCTTAAGACTATCTGGTAAGCACCTGGTTCTGCTATTGAATAAGACCCCCTTGCCTGTTGTCCTTTATGGTCCCATTCTTAACTTTCTGCTAGACTCTTTTCTGTTCACTGTCTTCTGGGGCCACATCGGAAGGAGGCACTGGGTAGTACACCCTGTTGGCAGCCACGCAGACCTCACAGTGCACTTCGCTTCGCAGGGTCAGAGAAATACGGGCTGCTTTAAGGGTTAAAGAGCCTCGGCTATTGATGGCCAGTCTTGCAGTTTCTTTGGCAAAAGAATTCCTTCAAAATTGTAGTGTACTTTTGGTCAGTTTCACAAGTGAGTTAAGAGCCGTCAAAATCTTGTGTCATAATCATTTTTAGTCTCTTTATTTATTTATTTTGAAGACTTTATTTTGTGGCCTCTGTGAGTCTCTCATTTCAAAAAAGGTCTTCGCTTCATCAGTAGGGCTGTCACCCGTGTGTGAAAGAGTTATACCTCCTGCTAAAGCTGCAGTTTTGTAGTTAGGTTTTTGTTGTTGCTGTTGTTTTTATTTTTGTTTTTGTTTTGTTTTGTTTTTAAAGATTTTATTTATTCATTTGAGAGAGAGAGAGGGCGAGAGAGAGTGTGCACAAGTGGGGGGGAGGAGCAGAGGAAAAGGGAGAAGCAGGGAGCCTGACGTAGGGCTCCATTCCAGGACCCTGAGATCATGACCTGAGCCCAAGGCAGATGCTTAACTGACCGAGCCGCCCTGTGCCCCGTTGCTCTTGTTTTCTTAACATAAATTTTTTATATTATGAAAATTTTAAACATAATGAAAAAAAAGAATTGTTGAGAAAAATTCCCATATATTCATCTTCTAGATTCAGCAATAATCAAAATATCACTTCATCTCTCTGATTTTATTTTTGCTAAAGCATTAAAGAAAACCCAAACCATTGTTGTTTCACTCCTACCTACTTTAGTATCTAAAACAAAAAAAGAGGATATTTCCTTATATAGCTACTCTTCCAATTTCAACTCTAACAAGACAAATAATATTTTTTGTCAAAATCTGATGCATAATCCACAATCATATTTCCAAGACGGTCTCAAAGATTTTTTAATAGTTATTTTTTTTTAAACTTGGGACTGTATATGTTATTTTTACGTGCCTGTCTCAATATAGGATAGCTCGTCCTCTCTCTCTTTTTCTGCCTCTGTTTCTTTACATATAATGCCATCAATTTGTTTTGGGAAATAGGGTCTGGTGACCTAATTAATGCCTTGTGTTCTGGATATGGTTGCTTGCTTTCTTGTGACCTCATTTAAATTGTTCCTTTGTCTCTACCTTTTCTGTAAATGAACATTAACTCAACCTTGATTAGATTCAGCTTTTTTTTTCTTGGCAAGACTATTCATAGGTGATTGTGTGTAACTCTGTTAATATGTTAGTTCATAGGTGACCATTCCTCAAGTGTCAGGTTGTCCCATTTTTAGTGGTAATTAATCTGCAGATGTGTCAGTCTGATCCCGTCATTGTAAGTGCCCAAGAAACATTGATCTAGTAGTTTTATATTGATGACCATTGCCTGATGCAGCTATTATATTAGGGGATGCCAAAATTGTGACTTTCTTATTTTATCATTTCTTCCATATTTATCAGGTGGAATTTTATAATGAAGAACTTTCTCTCAAGAACTACTTAAAATACAATTCATAGAGGAAAGGCAGGGAAAATGCATAATTCTTTCTTTTTTGTTGTCATTTTCCACAGCAAGGAGTTGGTTCCTGAGTAACTTCTAGTGATGTTCAGGGAGTCCTTACAACTGTTTTGGTCTTTGGGGGGCTTCCCTTTTTCCTTTCTTCCTGTTGTTGTTGTCCTCATTCTTGTCATTCTTCTCCTCCTTTGCTGCTGCTTTTCTCAGTCTCTCCCCCTCCCTCCCTCCCTCCCTCCCTCTCTCAAGTGTAGTTGTGAAATCATGGATATTTTATGTATTTAAGCATTTCTGTCAATGACACTTGTTACTGCTGTATGCTCAAACTGCGCAGTCTTTGACCCGCGAGAGGCTCAGTGCTCTTTTGACACAGCCCCTTAGGTCCTTGGAAGATTCCCTGCCATTTTGTGGCCGCATCTTTTAACTGTTTCTGTTTCCTGTATGGAATAGCTAGATTTGCCAACTCTGTAAGTTTCCACATTCTAGGACTCTCCTTCAAATTCTCCTTCGGATTTCAGGCAGAGGGAGGAAAGAGCACCTGTTTTAGAAGAGCTGGGTTCTCTTCTGTCTCTTCTGGAAGATTTCCTAGGTGGGTCTCTCTTATAAGGCTTTGCTGAAAGAAGCAGGAAGCAAACACTACATACTAATATTCTGAAATGTCCTAGCATTTTATCTCATGCTATAGCTTTAGTTGGCATGTGTCTATCTTCTTAGGTACAGCAGATCATAATTTGACCAAATGGTCATCATCACATAATGGTTGTTGTCAGCTTTCCTGTTGGTAACATCTTTATCCTGGCACCAACCACCTGACCTCCTCCCTGCTACAATAAACCAGCACCATAATTTATGTTTTGTTATTGCAGCAAAGAACTATATTCTCTAGTATAAGACCTATTTCTAAGCTACATAAAACCAAATGCATTCTAGTTAGTTTAAGCTGAATGGGATTTATCAAGGATGTGCATATCTTGGAATCATAGGAAGAACTGAAGACATGTACTTTAGGTTGAGCTCATAGGAAAGACTTCAGATTACACTGGAGAACTTGAGGAATATTTAAATTATGGAAGTATGTAGTTTCAAAATATGCATATTAGAATCTTCGATAAATGAAAATCTGCTAAATCATTAGACAAGTGTCTCTGTAGTTACTCTAAAGTGTATATGGATTCTGGTGAAGATTAGAGAAAATCAGAGGCTAACTTCTGTCACTTTCTAGTTTATTGATTTAATGAAAATGACTTAAATACTTTGAGATTATTTCTCCATCTCTTACCTGAAAAATGATCTGAGCATAAATGAGATAACTTGTCAGGTGTTTTTAGCACCTCGGTTGAATTGCACTATGTAAATTGAACCAGAAATAACAAAATATAAGTTTCTTTGAGTTAAAATATGAGGAAGAAGCTGGTTAAAGCACTAACTCATTCTCCATAACAGTCAAGATACAAGCTGAGGCTTCTACACTAGCTACTTGCCAGATGAATAACTTTTGCCTGGCATTGGAATGTGAGTTTAAATTCAGAGGTGCAAGATATGGAGCAGTTGTAGGGAAATTACGGGCAACAATAATGCCTATACATTGTAATAAATAATCTTTCAAAAGCCCATGAATGATAGCAATTACTACGTTCCTTTAACTATCCAGAGAAATTCACTGTTAATCCTGATGTGGATGTTTCAGCTAGTCCAGAGTTAAGGGGATAATTTCACATTAGACATGTTCTCCCCTCTGTGGAGTGAAGTCTCACAGTGTGTCTGACAGTACTATTTCTTTCTTTTTTTTAAAATTTTTTTAAAGATTTTATTTATTTGAGAGAGAGAGCACACCCATGCGCACACACAGGGGCATTTTTTTTTTTGAGGGGCACAGAGACTGTTTATTGAGGGGCAGGTGCAGGAGAGGTAGCCGGCTCCGGTGCAGAAGTGGAGGCGGCAGGTCATGCCAAGGTGCTGCGGGCATCTGGCAGCCAGGGCCATGCCCCCCATCCTAGGGGACAGCATAAGCTCACTATGACAGGAGTAGCAAGGAGCAGGCCAGGGGAAGAGGTGGCCACAGCCTCCCATGATCCTGGGCAAGAAGCGGCAAATGTACTTGGCACAGGGGCCTGGGATTGGAGGACTGGGGTCTGGGTGTTCAAGGGGGAGAATAAGAGGGGATCACGTCTGTGGAGTGGAGTAGAGACTGTGGTGGTGGCCACCTGGTCCCAGCACCTGGGAGCAGAGCAGAGGAGTGGTCCGTGTCTGGCTGCCCCCGCACCAGCCTGGCTCCCGCCCGATGGCGCCGTACCAGCTGCCAGAGCCTAGACTGCCCGACATGCTGGTGCTCTCGCTACGGCCGTGCTCCCAGGAGCAGCCCTCGTCCTCACAGTGCCCGGCCCGGTCAAAGAAGTAGGAACGAGCGCCAAAGACCTGCCCATTGAGGATGCGGCTGGTGCTCAGGTCCTGTGGGGGCCGGTGCACCCGGAAAAAGCCCACCAGCAGGGTGGTAGGCAGCAGCTCCCACACAAAGAGGATGAGGCCAAACACCAGGTAGCCTTTGTTCCCCAGGTCATTCAGCAGGTCCGCCTGGTCAGAGATGTTGTACCAGTCATAATCGAAGGCATCCAGCCGGCTCCGGGGAGCCAAGGCCAGGGCCGCCAGGTTGTAGCAGGCCCGGCTGGCATAGAGCAGGACCATGGCGCCACCCATCGTAGCTGCCTGGCACACACTGGTCCCCTTGGCCTCCAGGTAGATGCTGGTGGAGGGCGCCCGCCGGGCGACCAGGCAGAGGCAGGCAGCAAGAGAGAGTGCGCAGATAACAAAGAGGGAGTCGCTCACCAGGACTCGCACCAGCAGGAGGGCCCAGGGCTGTGCCCGGTGCCGGCGCGACAGCACAGCGCACAGCACGTTCACCAGCAGAAAGAGCAGCGAGGCCCCCACGAAGGCCCCTCGGACAGCCAGCAAGCCTCGGCTCATCTCCGGCCGGCGCTTCGCCTTGGCCTTGAACACAACCTGGGCAAAGTAGAGGTTCATAAGTGTCAGTGTGAAGAACTGCAGGCAGACAGGGCAGCAGTAGAGAAGCCAAAAGGGCAGGGGTCCCAGACGGTTGGCTCGGGGGGTATCTCGGAAGTAGAAGGAGAAGAGGGTGGTGCGCAAGGCAGCCCAGAGCAGACAGAGTGCCAGGAACACTGTCTGATAGCTGAGACGCTTGTGCCCATATAGGAGCACCAGCCAGAGTTGGGCATATACGGAGAAGAAGAGCAGGGCATACAGAGTGGTGTAGGCCGCAGTCAGCCCCAGGGTCACGGCAGGAGGCAGCGCAGGGACCAGCCCAGCAGCAGGCACCAGGCCAGACAGGTTACTCTCCATGTCAGGGAGGCCTGAATCCCAGAGAAAGAGATGGAGGGCTGGCAGGGGGCCAGGGAAATAAATATGGAGGGATGGGAGTTGCAGGGTGCAGCGACAGAGATGGGGAGCTCAGGAGGGAAGAAGCTGCAGCTGGCCAGGCCCTTCCCCCTCAACAGAGGGACCCTGCCCTTGCAGCGGGACACAGGCAGCCTGGGGCCTGGGCCCCTCACTCTGGGAAGTGGAAGGACAGACCCTGTGGAGGGCAGAGGCGGGAAGTGGGCAGGGTCTCCTCCCTGGGCCAGCCCCAGAGCCAGGGCGAGGGGGTGCAGAGAATGAAGGACAGGGGTCCCTGGCCTTGCTTGTTCGAGTCGTCCCGGCTGGAGGGGGAGAGCCGGCAGATACCCTTCCGCTAAAGGCAGCGCCCGCTGCCGGGCACGCTCAACGCCCAGCTCTCCCCTCCCCAAACTGGGGGTCTCTCTCCCTTCCAATAATCCGGATTGGGGATGGCCTCTGCCTCCTGTCCTCGGAATTCCGGACGCTGCCCCCACCCCACCCCCCACTTCATCCACTCTCCAGCCTCGGAGGGTGCGGGAGGAGGCCGACGCCGGGTCCTCAGGACGCCGCTGGGGGAGCCGGCTCTGGTCGCTGCGACCCGGGGCTCCGGCTCCCCAGCTCCCCAGATGGACAAGCAGGCTCCACGCTGAGCACTGGGCACGGAGCCCTTCCTGGGCTAGATCTCCCAACCCTGAGATCATGACCTGAGCCAAAATCAAGAGCCAGCCACTGAATCGACTGACCCACCCAGGTGTCCCTCTTTTTTTAAATTTTAATTCCAGTATGGTTAAGTACAGTCTTATATTATTTCCAAGTGTACAATACAGTGATTCAACAATTCTATATATTAGTGCTCATCATGATAAATATACTCTTAATCCCCTTTACCTATTTCACGTATTTCCCCACCCACCTTACCCTCCTCCCCTCTGATAACTATCAGTTTGTTTTCTGTAGTTACAAATCTGGTTTTTGGTTTGTCTCTTTTTGTCTTTGTTCCTTTTTTTTTTGTTTCTTGAATTATATGTAGGAGTGAAATCATATGGTATTTGTCTTTCTCTGTTTGACTTATTTCACTTAGCATAATACTCTCTAGATCCATTCATGTTTCAAATGACAAGATTTTATACTTTTTAATGGCTGAATAATACACACACACACACACACCACATCTTCCTTATCCATTCATCTATTGATGGACACTTGGGTTGCTTTCATAATTTGGCTATTGTAAATAATGCTGCAATAAACATAGGGTTGCATATGCATATATCTTTTTTTAATTAGTGTTTTTGTTTTCTTTGGACAAATACCCAGTAGTGGAATTACTGGATCTTATGGTAGTTCTATTTTTGATTTTTTGAACAACCTCCATATTGTTTTCCACAGTGGCTCCACCAGTTTGCATTTCTGCTAACATGAGAGCTTCTTTTTCTGCATATTTTCACTAATGCTTGTTGTTTCTTGTGTTGTTGATTTTAACCATTCTGACAGGTGTGAGGTGATATCTCATTGTGGTTTCGATTGGCATTTCCCTGATAATGAGTGATGTTGAACATCTTTTCATGTAACTCTTGGCTATCTGTATGTCTTCTTTGGAGAAATGTCTGTCATGTTTTCTGCCTATTTTTGATTGGATTATTTCTTATTTTGGTTTTGAGTTGTGTAAGTTCTTTATATATTTTGGATACTAACATTTTATCAGACATGTCATTCGCAAATATCTTTTCCCATTCAGTAGATTGTCTTTTAATTTTGTTGTTTTCTTTGCTGTGCGGAAGCTTTTTTATTTTGATGTAGTCCCAATAGTTTATTTTTACTTTTGTGTCCCTTGCCTCAGGAGACCTATCTAAAAAAATGTTGCTGTGGCCAGTGTCAGAGAAGTTACTTCCTGTGCTCTCTTCTAGGATTTTTATGGTTTCAGGTCTCAGATTTAGATCTTAACCCGTTTCGAGTTTATTTTTGTATATAGCGTAAGAAAGTGGTCCAGTTTCACTGTTTTGTATAGAGTTCTTTAGTTTTCCCAAAACCATTTGTTGAAGAGACTGACAGTACTGTTTCTCTTGATTGAAGTAGTGAAGGGTGGTATGTACTAAGTAGGTTTTTTTTAAAGATTTTATTTATTTATTTGAGAGAGAGAGCACAGGAGCAGGGGTGGGGGGAGGGGCAAATGGAAATGGAGAGGCAGACTACCCAATAGCAGGAAGCCTGACTCAGGACTGGATCCCAGGACCCCGAGATCTTGACCTGAGCTGAAGGCAGATGCTTAACCGACTGAGCCACCCAGGTGCCCCTAAATAGGTTTTTAAAATGAAATGAAAATTTGTGTTTCTTCAGTTAGTGAAGCTGAATTTTTAAATTAGATTTACTCTCTGTGCCCTGCTCAGTGAAGCCTCATACTGTGTCTGGCACCAAATTGACACTTAGCAAATGTTTATTGATTTAATTAGAGAAGCTCTGTGATGGGCGTGTAGAGACATAATATGAGTGAGTTTAAGGAGTAAACCAGTACTATGTTCATATCCCAACTCTTTTAGTTAATAACTGTGTGACTTTGGGTAAGCAGTCTATTGTCTCCAAACCTTGTTTTCCTCTTTTGTAAAATTAATGGACTAATAGTAAATATTTCAGAGGGTGCACTGAGGAATAAATGATAGAATGCATATAAATCACTTGGCATGGCATTTTATTCAAAGTCAAGTTTTTCTCAAGTAAACTATTTTATTTATTATTTATAAAGAACAATGGTAATACAGAGGAGGTAGTTATTAATTGAACTGAATGGAGGGTTCCCAGAAGGCATTTGACATTGCAAATTATTGACAGAATGGTGAGCATCCACGTGAGCTTGGGAACTCTGTGAGGCATGGCTTGTTAGACAAGTTCGATTTGGCTGGGTATCAGGGAATGTGTTGGGGGAAATCTGGAAATGTAGGTAGAGGAAAGATAATACAGTACATTGTATGTCAAGCAAAGGGTTTTAAACCCTGAAGGGATGTGATCAAATATGCATTTTGAAGAAGCAGCTGTGGCAGTGGAGTAATATATGGAATTGGGGAAACCAAAGTTACTTGGTTGGCTCGTGGTTGTTGGAAAGGTTCAGTCAGGCTAGAGATCAGCTGGTGTGCTCTAGAAAATATAGGGAGTAAGGAATAAATTCTAGTGCTGTGTAGGTGATAGAATCAATTGAACTTTGGGAGGAAAGAGTTAAAGTATCTGGCAGTCATCCTATGATTCATTTATTCCCTTTACCAGTAAGATGCCTTGGGAAAAAGCAAAGAAGTCAGGTGACTTGGTCTAATCTTGTTAACCGGCTCTCCAAGTGAATAGATGAATGATATTTCTAGGAAGAAGAGATCTTCTCTAGTGAAGGACTTTGCCAGATGACCTTGCTAAAGGATGACTTATGGTAAATAAGTAAAGAATCTATAAGGCATGTCCCCCACATAAGCTATTTATTTCTCTGGGTACCTTTTTTGAGTTCTTCGTTGATTATTTGGGGGCAGAGAATAAGTATCTTATGTCAGAAATAAGGGACTGGGGAGGCACAAGGGACCACTCTTTGTTTCATCTGTGCCTCTATTCTCAAAATTCTTAGTTAAGTCTGATACTCTAATCTCTCTTTCATGGGAGTCTGATATGATTTTTTGATCCTGTGTCAGGATCAGCTCAGACTTTGTGACCTAGTGGATGTAGGTGAGAGAGAGAAAGAGATATAGAGGATGGCTCCAGAGTTGGTGATGGCCTTACGTGAAATGGGGCATCCTGGAGCAGTGAGGGCCTGCCCTTCTCCCTAAGGAGAATGTGATGAGGTTAGTTTTAGACCTTTTGAATTTGAGTTATCTGTGTAATTTTCAGGTGGAGATGTCTCATATACAGGTACTGGAGATCAGATGATCAGTAAGTTTGGAGAGGCAGAGAATGTGCTGAGGCTGTTGCAGGTAGATAAAGAGGAACCTGTAAAATGATACTGAGAAAGGTCAATTGGACATTGGAAATATCAGAAGAGAGAAGTGGTTGTAGAATCTATGGGAAAAACAAGTTTTAAGCACAACAGTGTAAATGGTACGGAGGGTTGACCATAGATTAAGACTGAAAACATCAATTAGATTTACCAATGCCAGTAGCTCATCAGTGATTTTAGAAATAATTAAAGGAAATTGTAAATTTGTAGTGGTAACAAATTGTGTGATTGGGAGATAGTCTCTGGTGTGGATACAGAAGTAGAGAGGGTAGATAATGGGATTCACCCAGCTTTGTGGATGCTTAGTGTGGGTCTTATGAAAAATGGAGTGGAGCTAGTTAAGGATGCTGATGAAAAGGAATTGATAGAACCAATTGTTTCTTCCAGGATGTGTAAAAACATAAATAAAGCTATGATAGTCTAAATAACTTGTAGTAGCATCACCTGGGATGTTGACTAAAATTGAATATTTGTTCCCTACTGAATTAGAATCTCTAGGGGATGGTGCTATAGAGTATTCTTCTTTAAGCACTTTCCAGATTAATTTTTAGCAGCCTGTTTAATTATAAACAAGTGGGTTTTAAGAAAAATTATGATCTTGCTGAAATATTAAGTGAAAAAACAGGACAGAGATCTGTATGCATAGAATGCTGTTAATTATATTGAAAAAGATGCAAGTCAATGTTCATGCATTAAAAAGGCTGGAAGGAAATGCCCTTAGTTATTTCTAGCTTGTAGGAGTTTAAGTAACTTTTACTTATTTTTTTCAAGTCTTTTAATTATAGCTTATACTCTTTCAGAATTAAAGATAAATTATAATTATTAAAAATTGGTAGCTAATAAATGATGTATTTCTACATATTGGATTATAGATACAAATACAGAGAGATAGAATACTGTCTTAAAGAGACTGTTTTAATAAGGATGGAAGGAAGAAAGAACATAAAAGCATTTTATACGTGAATTAGGTATAGAGAGAAAGATATGAGAGGAACATGGAATAAAAGCAGAACTTTCTTTGTGAAAACCAAATCCATGTACTTCATAATTTTGCCTAGAGTGGCCCATCCTCTAATACTCTGAAGATTACGTGTGTTCAAACTTCCAGCTCCTACCCATTTTTTTTTTTTATCAAGACCAAAACTGTCCAAGTGTCATGGATTAAATAAAAAAAAAAAAATACAGACCACTTTGTAGAATCAGTACAGTGATTTAGAGGGAACATCAGTCTGATAAAAAGCTGAGGCCATGAATCCAGCTGTGTTAGGAAAATCCCAAAGGCCATCTTAGAGAAATGGCTGAAATCTGCCATAGATTTCTGGTCACCTAGGAGTATATCTGTCAAAAACTATTCTGACAAAACCTGAGCACAGGAGACCAGAATATTCTTTGGAAGCTTAAACTACAGATTTTTTTTATTAAGTGTTTGATAAAGCTGGTGTTATCACAGTGTTATCAGAGCAAAATGTGTCAAATTCATTGATGTTTACCAAGTAATCACTATAGGCTAGATTCTTTGATGAGGGATATCAACATGTCTATATCATAAATACAATCCTTAATTTCAGTGAACCTACTAGTGGGGGGACAAAATAAATATCTTTATCCTGAAGATAAAAGTAGATATTAAAAATACAGAGCCAAAGGAAGACAT